CAGTCCTAAGGACCTAGGGGTTGGGTCGTGACAATAATAAAATTATGTCAAATTATCTGTTAATATACTAATTGATACGTATAGTTTTATCTTATCAAAATGGTGAGATTAGAAGTAAGGTGTACCCCACACGTAACTATAGATTTTCAATTTTTAATTTGTAATTTTTTTATTTTAAGTACTCAAAATCAAATTTTGAATATTTATTTGGTAATTTTTTTTTAGTGAACTTTTTTAATATTTTGATTATTTTTTATTATTTAGATGAATTTAATCTAAATGTACTAAAAAATAAAATATTTGTGAATTTTTAAATTTTTTTTAATAATTATTACAAAATATGAAAATGTATTAAATTTTTATATTTTTTAATTTTTATTGAATCTTGTAAAGATTTTTTTATAAATATTTTACTTTTTAAGTATATTTAGATGCATCCAAATCTTAAAAAAAGAAGCAGGTATATTTTTGAAAAACATGACCAAAATATTAAAAATAAAAAAATACGAATTAAAAAATCAAAATCTAATTTTAAAAACAACAGGTGAATAACAAGTCACAGGTTCTCCAACAATTACATTTGATTTGGGACACCACATCACTGTGTCCCTGGAACACTAAGGATGTGTTTGGTTTGTGTTTATAGATTAGTCTTTGAGATAAAAAGTATAAAAACTTATTTAGTTTATCTATTTTCAGAAATGGTTTTGGAAATTTGTTTTGAGGAGAAAGTTTTAAAAAAAGTGATTGATTTGATGTGTATGAGAGAGAGTGTGTGATTTTAGAAAATAGGTAACCAAACAAAATTTTGAGATTTTTTTTAGAAAAATTTATTTGGTTTGATTACTCTTAAAAATTTATTTGTAAAGAATTTCTTCTAAAAATTTTTCTAAAAAACAAACCAAACAAGACCTAAATACCTTCTCCACCAATGATAGAGAGTTGACAGTCTTGATGATGTCGTGGGTTAAGTTTGTAGATTCCGTAAAGTGGACGGCCGTTAGAGAATCTGTAATGGTGAATCAATTTTTTTTTATTAAATTTGAATAAAAATATAAATAAAAGTTTATTTTAATATCAAGTATTTTAATAGAGGATTTTGGAGTTTCATTAGAATATCAGTTAATCGGGTGGATATCTAAATGGTTGACCAGCCAATATAAATTTTTTTTTTGTCATGAGGTGGTCGACCGACTGGTCGACTGGCTAGTGCAATTTTTTTAGAAATTTTTACCTTGAAGTAGTCATCCGGGAGGATATTCAGGGGACATCTAGGAACGACAATGAACAGTGATTTGTTAAAAGACACATTTATCCTCAGTTTGATAAAATAAAAGTAAAATTCTCAATTTGATACTTATTTGATGCAACTGTTAGAGCAGCAGCTGAACTCATTTTTCATCAAATTTAAATTTGATGAAAAATTTGAGTAACCATTGGAGATAGTTTTAAGTATCTTTTCATAACGTGAAAAAAGTCAATTTATTGATTTATTAATTTATTTAGGTCACATTATTTATTTATTTCTTTTGTATATTTTTTCAAAAAAAAATTTAAAAAATTCAATAAGCTACCTTTTTTCTCATTTCTCAAAACAAGCCTTCCAAATTGGTATAAGATTCGTTTCACACTAATCCATACTCTTCTTATAGAATTCAATATGCACCCGCATCGATGATTCGAATGATTTATCTCGTAAGCTCTACAATAAAGGTGATTTATACAAAAAATCAACTTCAATAAAAAATTATAAATACAAAAATAAATTTTTTTTATAAAATGAATAGTAAATATAATAAAATTTAAATCGTTTATTTTATAAAACAAAATATGATTTGTTCCCATATTTATAGTTGTCTGATTAAATTAATTTTTTGTATGAATGACCTTCATTGCAAGGCTTATGCGATAGACGGTTCGGATTATCAGTGTAGATCTAAATTAAAACTCATAAATTAAGTATGAAGAGATGTGAAGAGATAAGGTATGAAAAGGAGCTTATCCCATCAACACTTGTGGAATTAGAAAAGGGTGACCCCGCACAAAACTATAGATTTTGAGTTTTTAATTCATATTTTTTTATTTTTTATTTTTAAAATCATATTTTGAGTTTTCAATTCGCATTTCTCTATTTTTAGTTAATATTTTGGTCAGTTTATATTTTTTATTTTTTAAATGAATCTAATCAAAATGTACTCCAAAAGAAAATTTTTTAAAATTTTTAATAAATATTTCAAAATACGTAAATGAACTGAATTTTTATATTTTTTTAGTTTTATTGATTTTTACAAATATTTTTTTTAATTACATTTAAATGCATCTAAATTTTTTTTAAAAAAATTGATCAAAATATTAAAAACATTTATTAAAACTAATATAATACAAATTAAAAAATCAAAATCTGATTCTTAAAACTGAATAATTAAACAAAATGAACAATAAGTCACACGTTCTCCAACAAGTACATCTCATTTGGGATACTGGCGTGTTTGGTAAGGCTTATTTCTAATTTATTTTAACTTTTTGCTTAATTTAAGTTATTTTGATGTGTTTGGTCCAACTTAGCAATACAACTTATAGCTTTTTGTAAGTCAAAAATCAACTTATTCTTTGTGTGGGGGAGAAGAAGCTTAATTTATAAGTAAAAAATCAGTTTATGTTCACAGCTATAAGCTATAAGCTGTTAGGTTATAAGTTATAATCACTTTTCCACAACTCTACCAAACGGGGCCACTGTGTCCCATGAACACCATATAACTTCACAATTTTGAGCTATTTTAAAAAAATAATTATAATCAATTTCCTAGTTAAAAAATACTTATAAACTACTTATAAATAATTTTTTTATAAAAAAAAAAAGTGAATTATAATTTAAAAAATAAATTATAATCCACTTCCCCAAAGGAGTTTTGATGGTCTCGTGGGTTAAGTTTGTGGATTCCGTAAAGTGGACGGCTCATATTATGGTATCAAAGTTTAGTAGGATTAGAGGTAAGGTGGACCCCTATCTAAAAAAATGATATCAAAATTGATGGGATTAGAAGTAGGGTGGACCCCTATCTAAAAACAAATGAAATAGAGTGGAGCTTACACGTAATTGCTTAAAAAGGGCTCGTGGGTTAAGTTTGTGGAATCCGTAAAGTGGATTAGAGGTAGGGTGGACCCTATCTTAAAAAATGATATCAAAGTTGATGGGATTAGAAGTAGGGTGGACCCCTATCTAAAAACAAATAAAATAGGGTGGAGCTCACACGTAATTGCAGATGTTTAGAATGAAATGTATTTTTTGATCTGTTATAAAAAATTGTGTAAAAAAATAAAAGGATAATATAATTTAAATAAATCTATTTATTTAAGAGATACAAACAAATTCTAAAGTGCAACTGCGTGTTGAAACCAACCTATACAACATATGATTATAGTCCATGGGACTAATCCGAATTCTAGAGATTAATTTTTCATAAATTAATTTTAGAGTGATTTTTTGAATGCATGAAATTTAATTTTACAAAAATTGATGATACAAATACAATAATACTAAATAGAGGTCGTTTGGAAAGTGATTTTTTGATTTTTTAACTAAAATTTGAAATGAAAAAAAATAATATCCGAAATGACTTTTTGACTTTTTATGAAAAGATATGTAAAAAGTAGAATGGATATGAAACAATTTTTGACTTTTCATATAAGTTAAAAACTTTTAGCTTTTTTTAAATAATTTTTTGACTTTTATACTAAATATCAACATGTCAAACGGGACTTAAGTTGAGGTATAATAATATTGATAATTACTTGAAAAAAACAAAAAAAAATCTCAACTATAAAAAAAATTACACCAAAATTACTTTACAAAAAAATCACTAGAAAATGCTCACTTCGGACTCCCTAACTTTGTACGTCCCGTGTGCCACGCGGCATGGAATCACTAGCTGTGCTCGTGCATCAACTCTCTCTCATTTTTTTTCTCAAAAATTTTTTTTTAGTGAAATAATACAAAAATTTCTCCTACTACCGTCTCGTGTGTTAATAAAAACTTTAATATTTAAATTGAGACATATTATAATAATAATACAATTGACACATTGATTAATAAATACCTTTGTAAAATTTATTTATTTATATATGTGAATTAACAATACAACACTCGTACAGTAGTAACATTAGAGTGATCCGGCAGCGTAGAGTCAAGTTAGTTCAACTAATGGATGGTCTTGGCTGGATTAAGGTTAGATTTGACACCACGCTAACGCCTTTGGAACTAACAGTTTCCCTTTCAAGAGTGTTAGGACGTTGGACAAACAGTACACAAAAATTATGGTGAGAGGAACTATGAGACCTATAGTGTGCTTTTAGAAATAAAAGGTGGTGGTCTCTAAAGAGAGACGACTAATAATGTTAAGTTATAATGATAAATTATAATTTATTTGACTTTTTTTAACTTATTCAAAGTGAAATTTTCTTAAGATACAATGTGTAACTTTTTTAACTTGTTTAAAACTCTGCAATACTATAGACAAAATAATTTTATTAACAAGTATCCTACGAGTATAAATTAATAAATATAAAATAATTATATATTCTTTTGTGGTGTTTGGGAACTTGGTTCCTAGATCTTTTTTTTGATTTTTTCTGCTAAAAGACAAAGGTTTTGCAAAATAAAAAAAAACAAATCCAAACAAAATATCACATCCAACCCCATAATCATTTCACTTTTTCTCTCACAAACATTACATCCAATCACAAAAAAATCCAACTATCTTCTCAAACACTAAAATTTTTTTATCCAATAATATCCTATAACTAAAAAAACTTACTACATAAAAACTCACTTTCCAGGCACCCACTTTATGACGTGCAATTTTATAGAATACTAGCGTATACCCGTGCCTGAAGGCACAGTGTAAATAATGTTAGGATTAGAATATAATTGTAATCCTAATACTATTTAATAAATTATCAATTATCAATTTAATATAATTGTAATCCGAACCCTTCTTGTCTTAAAAATAAATTATCAATTATAGACATGAAATTATGTCTTCAACCTGAAAATCCCTGTTTCTATACCAAGAAAATGGCATAGACAAACAGCCATTGTTGAGCTTTGGTGACCTACCATGAAACAAACTCAAAAACATCTATCTAAGTTTACAGAATTGAGCGCATTGGACCCATAATGAATTGGCATTTGCCTTCCTTTCCCATAATCAGCCTTGTTCCCAAAACATTGGTTGGCAAATTCTTGCAAGGTGAAACCACGCCACAACAGAACACCATGTTCCCTATACTGCATTGCATTATACATGTCTGTTTACATCATTCTCTATCGTGGACTTCCTAATATATCCAACCAATTATTGAAAACCTATCCATCACATGGAGGGGTCTAAAAGAAAATATGAAAAGCTGAAATCAAAATAATTGCATGGTCTTCAAAGCTGACACATTTCTGGGGCTTGGGCTGGAGTTTTATCTTCTATGGATATGAAGTTGGCTTCAAATCATTCTATTTATGAGAGTTACAGATGAATGACTGAAGCATTGAAATTAAGATCAAGCCGCATAAGCTGACAAAGAACAGAAATACATATGGTTAGAGATTTTGAAAACATAGGTAGTGGAGCAATGGAACTACAGTAGCTGGTCAACAACCTGAAGGTGGTAAAATAAGGAAAGGAATTTGTGAGCAATATATACAATAGTGTTGTTGTTCATAGTATGTATGACTCTATATCATATGGCTCCTAACAGATTGAAATCTGTTGCTGATATTGCATAGTATATTGTGACACTAATTAATTGGTTGAGAAGAAAGAAATAAGTAACCTATGAAAATTGATCTCTAATTCATCTAGTTTCTTACCTGAGGCAAGATAATATCGTCTTGGGTGAGTGCAGCAGCTGATGCAATGTTGATAGCATCTTCTCCATGTGAGGTGAGATAGAAGGACATTCTTCCTTGCCTTTGTGCTTCGTAGAAGATGTTGTCCATAGTTTGAAGGGTAACCGTACTACGATACATCTTCAATGCATCATCCTTGCTCACCTAATGAATGTGATAGCTGTAAAATTAACAATAGACAATGTGCTTGCATGCAATCTAAATAATCAAATTAACTAAAGCTGAATTGTATAATTCTAAAATTTTCAGCCCTTAAAGTTGTGTTTGGATCTTGAATTTGTAGAGGGATTTATGGAGGGAAAGGGAAGGGATTTGTGGGGGTAAAAAAAGAGAGCTTAAATTACTTTTTCCCTTCCATTTCCTTTTCCCACCACAAATCTGAAATCCAAAAATAGCCTAAAGAGAAACTTATAAAATATTGCAAACTTGGATTATAGACTGGGTTTCATCAGGTTTTAAGTTATTTTCGGAAAGTAAAATGTACACAATGGCTAGAAAATCATGAAAAATACAATATATATTGTGCATAGTTCTAACAATATGGAGTTGGCAAAAAAATAACATATATTGTGCATAGTTCCACATATATTGTTCTAGATACAGAACACAGACCCATATTTTTATGTAAATATTTTATGTAAAATAACATATATTTCCGCATATATTGTGTATCGCAAAAAAATAACAGAACACAGACCCAGAAGAATAATATTGGTAGTTAGATGATTCCCATTATCCAAAAGCAAGTTAAAAAATTATTGGGATGATTCCCATTTCTCCATAAAATCAAACCGAAAACAAAAATATGAGAGAAGATACCATCAATTGGATTTGTTGTGTGTAAATTCCATTGAAACATTTTATCAAACACTTAATAAGTAAGGAATATAGAATGGTTATCGAACATTTTGGTAACAACCATTCAATAGAGTAACTCAAAAACCACCCTCCCTTATTATATGTGTGTATAAAAGTGCACCCAAAATTAAAGTGAACCCAAAATTAACAAAATCCATAAATGTGCACCCAAAATTAAAGAAAAACAATCAAAAAAAAAAAAAAAAACAAAGAAAAAAATCAGTAAAAGATAACACAAAGAAAAACCTGAACAACAATAATATATTGTTGTTGTCATTTGGTTAATGTTGAAGAACCCTAACTAAACCTTTTCTTCTTACCAAGCTCAACTGAAGTATGAGAATCCAAAGTAATAAAACTCTAACCAATATCCATGGCATGAATCAAAACAAATACTTGCATCTTGCAGCTGGCATTTGATTAATATAAGAAAATAAATAAATAAATAAATCTCCAAGAATTTTAATTTTTGTGCTTTTTGGAAAAATTGCAATAAAATGGAAAAAATTGAAACAATTGCAAGATTAAATAAATGCAATTTGAAGATTAATAATTGAAGATTAATAAAAATAATTGAAATGTAAATGCAATTTGAAGATTAATTTTAAAAACATAGTAAAATTACATTTTTACCGGCCACCCCTCACCCACCCTTCCCAGTTGCTGGCCACTCCTCCACCCTTCCCGACCCCCTCCCTCAACCCTTGTTTCCCAGACACCCCCCAACCCTTCGCCCCTCCCCATCCTAGTAGCTGGGAAGGGGAAGGGGGGAGGAAGAAAGAGAACAGGGCAAAAGTTAGGGGAAAATTGTAAAATTTTTAAGATTAATTTTTAAGTTTCCACCTCTATTGCAATTATTTTTGATACTCAATATTTTTGCAATTATTCTACCTCATCCCATGTTTTTGTAGTTTAGCCTTTCTATTTTTCAGGGTTGGGGATAATTGTTTTGCAGCTCTGTTTCACTACACTTAATGCCAAGTAAAAACTGCACTTGAGTCAGCCAGATGCTGGCGGCTCTCCAAATTCACTGCAGCAATCAAAAGGAAACAGTAGATACATACAAAAGCAACTGTTTCATCTTAAAATTTTGGAGGACAAGTGCAAAAAAAGGAAAGAGGAGAAAGTGGGGGGAGGAGGGATGAACATACAAATTGCAATACACACAAAGAAAACATTACCCATAAAAGTGCAACCAACTGCACTTGATGATCTCTTGGCTTCAAACAAAAAAACAAAAAAAAATCTGTAATCAATATATATACACACAAAGAAAACCTTACAAAAAATCGGTTTCATGAGGAATGAACAAAAAGATTTGCTGGCACTTTGAGCAAATAGCTAATCACAAATACAGAGCACTTTGAGCCCTCCAAGTTCAACAAAAGAAAATGAGTTCACTAACTGAGAGTCTAAGCCTTCTACTTTGCTGGCAACAAATATAGGTTTTTTGAATTCATATGTATTTATGAAGTTTATCTTTCTATCATTATTTTCTCTCCTACCAAACAGAGAATCGCATAGCAAGAGCAGATATCTAGTAAAAAAAAATCTTTCTTGATAAAATAAAAACAAACCAGAGAATAATAGAAAATACCCATAATCTAAATGATAGTTAAAACGCCAAAAATCATCAAATTTGGGCCAAAATGAATTATATATATATATATATATATTTAAAAAAAATCTATATAAGAACAGTATATACATCAATCAATACACATGTAAAACTGAATCAAACTAATCTTCAATTTATGAATTTCTTTTACAGGTATGCAAAAGAGACGAATAAAAAACAAAGGAATTGGAGAAAAATTAACCTTGAATTGAACTTTTGGAATCGATTTAGTCAAACATTGAACTGAGCTTCTGGAATCGATGCGAATCAAAGCCCTAGAAGGAAGAAAACTAACCTTAAATAAACACATTTTTAGGGTCGCTTTCATGTAGCGATGTATCATTTCATATGAGAAGCAATAGATCAAAAGAATAGACAAGTAAAATACTAACCATCTAGTTTGTTGATTCCCATTCCAAATGCTACCTGTAGAAGAAGTATATCTTAAAAAAAAAAAAAAAAAAAAAAATCTGTAATCAATATATATATACAAAGAAAACCTTACACAAAATCGGTTTCATGAAGAATGAACAAAAAAATTTGCTGGCACTTTGAGCAAATAGCTAATCACAAATATAGAGCACTTTGAGCCCTCCAAGTTCAACAAAAGAAAATGAGTTCACTAACTGAGAGTCTAAACCTTCTACTTTGCTGGCAACAAATATAGGCCAACTATGAATTATCAAAAAGTAGCAAACCAGCTTTGTAAATTCAAACAACTTTATGAAATGATTGATCACTATCAGTGGGAAAAGAACGGAGTGGTACAGCACCTAGCCTGGAATGTGGTTAAAATTTAGGTTTACATAGCCTACACGAAGAGTGATAAATAAGTCATAAATATTAAAAGCCATTAAGAAGTCAAAAATACTAATTTTCTTTTCATGACATTCTAAATTCATGTTGACACAACTTATGGTTTCAGTATATTGCATTAGGTTTTATTGTGTTTTAATGGAAACAATAGAATTTTGGTATATATCAGATTTATATAATTCACAAACCAAAAGAGCATTTTTAGGAAGCACACTTCTAGAAATACACAGGCATAATAAACATTACAAAACAACAATGTGTCGTAGATAGGTTAATACATTCCATTTTACTCAAAACATGACAATTCCAATTCTACATTGCATCCTGACAATCTCAATTCAACCTCCGATTCCACTTTTTCCGATAACAACTTCATTCGCAATGATTTTTGGATTAGAGAAGGTCTTGTTGTCGGATTGGTTCAATTGGTGGCCTTTTTGGCGCCAAGAGAAGCAGTTGCAAATCCAATGGACACAGCAAAGCAGAGTGCTTTGTTTACTGTCAAGACTTTAACTTAACTAAGTGCTTATTCCTATTTTTTTCCATTTAGGTATATAGTCCCTTCTTACAAAAATCCAAGATTTGGTATTTCAAAGACTTGGTTTTGTAGAATTTCTCATATCACAATATCAAAATCAGTTTCTTGTCATCAATGTGAAAATAACACATTTCCAGTCACAATCAAATGGTGAAAGCATTTTACATGATGCTCTTGCCATGCATCATTTGTCATGTCTACTAATTCACTTCTCAACACCTTGAGCACATATTGTTGCACCAACATTATCTGTAGTTGTGGCTAAAGAAATTGGGATATTTGCCTTCTTATTGTTCATTTTAGTATAATTCTAAATTCTAAAATTATAGAGAAAAATTAGAAACTTAACAAAAAAAATTTAATTATGATTTTTATAGATAGGGATCTAAAAGTTGACCCAAATAAATGAATTTCAATAAAACAAATATACAAAAACCTACCCATTATTAAAATTAAAAAAAAAAAACACAGTTGTTTTAAAAAAAAGTTAATGACCAAAAATAGTATGTTTTTTTTCCATTTATTTCATTGAATTTGGCAAGTTTCAAACACTATAATGAATAATACAAATTGAACAAAACAAATATACTTAAAAAAAAATCAAAATCACACTCATAATCATCATTTTCATTGATCTTGTTAAAATTCCACAAAATATAAAAATTTCAATGAAACCTGAAAATTGAACCAAAATAATAATTTCTGAAAATCCACACATAATCATCTCAGATGATTATAAAAAACTGTTAAAAAAAGTCACATGAGGGCATCCATAGGATAGACAGATTTATTATGAGTGTGATGAAGAAACTTTAAAAATATACTACTTAAGGTCTTTTGATTTTTCTTCTTAAATTTTACTTGCAAGTATATTTGAACACTCCTGTAGATTTTGATTTCAAACATATACTTTCTTCTTAAATTTTACTTGCAGGTATACTCAAACACTCCTGCAGATTTTGATTTCAAACTTGAAAGGTACTTTCAAAATTGAGTACTGTGTTCACTGAGTAATGTTTGTCAACTTAACATGGTTACAACCTGATGCTGAGCATGGAAAGAAGAAAACACATCTAAAATTTCCCATGAAACAAACCTAGGATTTATTTAATCAAATTTAGGATAATTTTAGACTTGTTCACATGTATCCAACCCAATTATCAAAAATTCAATCCACCAAAACCGCCACCTCCTCTCTCTCTCTCTCTCTCTCTCTCACGACCACCATCCTCTCCATCCTTTATTTTTTAAACAATACAAACAAATACATGAATTATGTATGTATATACATAAATTATATCTATATATATCATCTAGCTTTCCAAAAGAGCACTAACTTATATCGTCTCTCGTAACTTTTTACACAAAAAAAATCAAAAAATTAACTTTTACTCATCTTCCCAAAACAATCCAAAAATACCCACTTAAATGTGTTTTATATAGTGCTGGAAAGAACTAAACTATTCATTTATCAAAAGTAACACAACAATATTCATGATTTTTAGAATTATTCAATAATTTTTCAAGAAGGATATGAGTAAAATTGTATGAAGGTAGAAACAGAGACTAATAAATTTGTATAGTTAAAATCATATATAGAGATATAACTAAGAATTTGGATCATATTCTGCAGTTTGTAGTGCTACATAACTTGAAATCAACTTTAAAATTTTAAATAATAATAAATAAATAAATAAAAAGAGAGTAGAGTCCAAGGAGAAGCAAGAAGAAGACCAAGATGTAGTAGTGGTGGTGTTTGGGTTGTGGAGGTGAAGACAGTTTCTCTTCGTGGTGGAGTAGAAGAGGCCATATCGGAGCCTGAACCAGACTATCTATCGGATTTTTCTGGCGGATCGGAACCTGGACCAGACGACCCTCTTGACCCGGAAGAAAGAACCCTTGATCCTCTCTGCAACACTCTTTTTCCTGCAGAACTGGTAGCTCCTCAAGAACAGTTGCCTCTTCTCCATCTCCATAGAATAGGTGAGGAGCAGAGAGATGAAAGGACTCCCGTATTTAGATATTGTAGAGGTGACCCCGTATTAAAGATTAGAGTAAAGATTAATAGTATTTTAACTAAAAGACTGAAGATTAGAGTAAAGATTATCCAAAAATTAAAGATTAGAGTAAAGCTTATTCAAAGATTACCCAAAGATAGAAATATAAATACAAAGAAAAAACCCAGGTTTGATCACCTGAACCGTATGTATACCGGATTATTTCTTTGTTGAACACCATTGTTCCCTTTTGCAGCCCCTTGTTCCTTTTTTGCAACGGCTCCGTCTTCAATGGGGTTTGGGGTTGCCATTGCTGATGAAGATTGGGAGAGAGAGGGAGGAAGAGAGAAGATGATGAGAGGGAATGGGCTCCGACAAGGAAGGTTGGGCTCTAATGGAGAAAAGAGAGAGAGAGAGAGGCTGCATGTTTTCAAAATTTGAAATCAAAAAGAGATAAATGGGTGAGACAAATGAGAGTAAGACGCTGTCTGTTGAAAATGAGAGACAAATGGGGCTTAGATTTTTTGAGCCCTTAGATTAAATCAATCTAGTGGCCCAAATTTTGACACAGGTATAAGAGTCAAATCAGGATTTAAAAACCAAGCTTCCTTATTATATAGATGTTCCCTTTTGCAGCCTCTTGTTCCTTTTTTGCAACGGCTCCGTCGTCAATGGGGTTTGGGGTTGCCATTGCTGATGAAGATTGAGAGAGAGAGGGAGGAAGAGAGAAGATGATGAGAGGGAATGGGCTCCGACAGGGAAGGTTGGGCTCTAATGGAGAAAAGAGAGAGAGAGAGAGAGAGAGGCTGCATGTTTTCAAAATTTGAAATCAAAAAGAGATAAATGGGTGAGACAAATGAGAGTGAGACGCTGTCTGTTGAAAATGAGAGACAAATGGGGCTTAGATTTTTTGAGCCCTTAGATTAAATCAATCTAGTGGCCCAAATTTTGACACAGGTATAAGAGTCAAATCAGGATTTAAAAACCAAGCTTCCTTATTATATAGATATATATATATATATATATATCTAATTCAAATTTATAAACAAGTACCTTTAGCATACTCGTCAATAAAATGAAATGTGATTGATTAATGCTATATGGCACTCTTTTCAACTAAATTTTTTAAAATCTATACATAATGCCAAAATTGAGCAACGTTTTCCACATAATTGTGGCATACTTTTTCTTCATTTTCTTTTTCCTCCATAAACTCAAAATCCAAACATAATTAAAATGATACCAAAATTAATTTTATTTTACATCTCAAAAAAAGCAAAGTAAATAGGCAACTAGAATGCACATTATTTTTACTACAACAAAAGTGGCCTTCATGGGAGAACTTCTAACACCCAACATATTTTTCTCTAGACCCACATTCTCTGGTACAAGTATTTCTTGAAGTACAAAGTGCACGATCCATGTATTGGGTGTAGAGAGAAACTAGTTCAGTGTGGCTACAAGCTCACTCACTCTTTCCAAAAATGTATGAAATTCCATATTTGCCCTTACTGCAAGGGCAACAATTATAAACCTTTTTCCAACATGCACAAGCGTCAGACATTCACTATAATCTAACAATGTGCCCCAACTTGTGCACCTATCTGCATCAAAAAACTGTGTCCAGTAATGACTCATGTGAATATTACAAATCACAAATTCCTAACAACCATGAATCATGATGCATAGAAAGCATTTGATTAGTCTCTCCACAAGACTTACTTCCAGTTGAAACGTACACCAGACCACAGACAATTAACTGCCTGCAACATATGATGTCATACTTATTTACAGTGTCTAAAGGAAAGCAGTTAGTCTATATCCATTTCTTCTATAAACCAGTGGGAAATGCGCCGACAATAGCAACACCTACTTCACCACATTGAAAACAGCACGGAGGTTAGATATCATAACCGGGCACTGTCCTTTCTCATCATATTCAGCAAACTCGCCTTCCGACAAATCCACATCATCAAATTTAGTACCTTCGAGCTGCACAAATGAGAGAACATATAAGCTAGGCATGTACACAAATTTAATACGTAAAAAAAAAAAAAGAGCTAATGGTACAACTTTCAGAAATTTTAAGTGGATTTAAATAAGAATATATCCCGCACATAGGCATATATTTGTGACATCAATATACCAAAGCAAACTTTCTTAGGACAGTGGTTTTTCTTTTCACTGTAAAAACTAAAATTTTTAAGACAGTGGAAGAAACACCCAGAAGACAGGTGAGAGTTTCAGTGTTTCAACTCTACAGCATATAAAACACAAGTTGAACCAACATGAATACGTCAAAAGTACTAAAGAGTAAGAGATTCACATTATTAGATTGTCAGTATTTTTTTATATGTTTTTTTAGCATATGAGAGGGGTAGGGTGGAATGACTCTCCAAATCCACTTGTCACCCACATTCCTTTGCCCTCACTAAAACAAATTAAAGGCACACAACTATAGTGCATTCTTAAGCAAAATTCACTTTTAAGCACCATACTGAGATGGCTGCCCATGCTAGTTAGTAACCTAGTGCCCTGAGGAGGACAAGAGAAGGGGGTAGTTTAATCTTCAGAGCTTACAGCATACCTAGGGATTATAACAGTGAAAGCATCAACAACCCCACCCCACCCATTTACTATCTAACATTGCAATACAAATGAATCTAGACATCCCCACAACATGAGATTTACCTCTAAAAACACAGCATAGCAACATTTCTTAAAAAAAAGAAGAGAGTAGGTGCTCAGTTAGATCTAGCCTATAAGGCACGGGTACTCCAAAAATGGTACCGTACGAATATCGGATACTTACAGAGTGCGGGTATGCGTACCGGATACGCCGAATACATGCCGGGTACGGCAAATATGTTTGGATACGTCGTGGGTACGGCACAGGTATGGCGAGGTGATTTTTTTTTTTTTTTTCAACTGCTAAAATTTGTTGTAACATTTATTATTATTCTTTCAACTTCAGAAATCATCAAGTAATTTATTTCCAACACCCTTTACCCATGAGTTATTGTTTTGTTCTTTTTTGCATCCTGTTTTAGACAATCAAAAAAGAAAAAGAAAAAGAAAGAATTATATAATTTTTTAGACAAGCTGTTCTTTTTTTAGTATTGATATGGAAACTTTGATTTGAATGTTGGATGTTTAACTATCAATTTTTTTTAAAAAAAAATTGACATACCCCAGCCGTACCCGTACCCGTATCCTAACCCTACTTTTTAAAGAATTTGCCGTATCGGTGTACTCATATCATACCCGTACCCATATCTGTACCCGCACACGTGCTTCATAGGCTCTAGCCCTTGTAAGAGTTTTCCTGACTTTCTTAAAACCTAGTTGAAGACCTTGCGTTAGTCAATCAATGAATCATTGTAACTTTTAACATTGCCGTTCACTGACCAAATACTGGAAAGCAACTATCAATGGTTTTCACAACTAAGTAATCATGCAACTAGGTGCAACCAATGCTGCATTCCATCTGCAGTTTATAAATTAATCAGCACCACCAATTGACAGAGTCAACCTACAACCAGTTGTTACACTATCAAATAGTCAGGTAGCTCGTCCATTCACTTACAGGACTTCTTAGCTTCCACAAAAACCCACTTTGAGCTCATTTGTCAGTTGTGCCAAGTCAAGCTTAAGTTGAAAACTAGGTTCATCATGTAAGGAGGTGGGCTTAATTAATTGTCAAGCTATTTCAAGCACCTTGATAAGTTCACTACTATGGTAATTGTAATTCAAGAAGCTTTAAAGAACATTCTTTTATAGATTACTACCCGCCATTTTAAGTTCTCTTGTGCCTTTTTGTTGTCCTCTGAATTTTACATTCAATTACGCTTATCAAAATATTCAAAAGAACGTTGGAAGTGCTAAATTAGTTAAGACGCGTGATAGACAGTCAGTGTCTTGCAGATATCCAGGACTTCCGTGCTTCAGTCTGTGAGAAGATGCACAGTACTCTTAACATTTTATTATACTTAACCAACTAGAATGCAACAAGAAGGATTATTTATTTCATTCTTACAGACCTTGTCAGAAACACTTTCATTTCAATTTGTCAAGCAGTGTGAACAAATTCATAAATATTTTACCCCAAAAAAACAAGGCATATAAAACAGAATACATAGGAACGGAACAAAAAACAGGGAATATGGGAATTACTGAAAAATGATTTGCACATTACTATAATCTAATAAGGTTAGGTTAGACAGAGGTACCCTATTAATCCTAGGCTTTTTACATGCATCTAGTATACTAAGATGTGGCCCTTGAAAAAATAATAAGGCACAAGAGAAAAGCTACACCAAAGAGGTTTGGAGTAAAGTGAGATCCAGTCATAAACATGCCAACAAATTCTTTTATAGAATCTTTTACCATATTTGAAGGAATTCTTAAGCTTTTAGTATATTGAGTAACTTCAAATAAACTCTCCTCATTCATAAACCACAAAACATGGGTGGATAAATTATGCACATTGGAAAAATTCCAGCGCATGCGCCTTCACAATATTAATGCAAAATACAATAACAAAACTTCAAAGAAGTGTTACTGCATTCTATTATGAAGCTAGAGGGCAATATTCAATTTATAAGTTATATGTTATAGACATTATTCTCAAACTTGCTAGCAATCACCAAACCAAATTATGCTTGATAAAAGATAAATATTTAAAAAGAAAATACACTGTTCCAAAAAACAAATAAATAAATAAAGGAAGACAAGGAGAATACTTTTGATCAGAATTAAATGCAAGGGGATGTCCATGATACACACTTCTACGGGGGAAAAAAATATACATATATATATATATATATAGAGAGAGAGAGAGAGAGAGAGAAGGTGAGCATTTTTGATCTGGTAGATGCTAGAATTAAATGCAAAGGGATGTCCATCATAGCAGTATAATGATTCAGTTGAAAGCTTAAAGACAAGCACTAACAAGCTTAACTTGAACTAAAGCTTTTCTTTTCTTTTTCTGTTCAATAGGTAAATTTAAAATTAATAATGCTTCATATCTGATAAGTAGCATAAAATGAAACAAGCAGAGACTTACAGATTCGACTTTCCAACCACTGCCAAACAAAAACTCCACAGGTTCGTAACCCCTACAGTCAAATAACATCAGCGGGGTATGTTTCCCTGATTGACTCATTTCTTGGGTCAGTGGACGGCCTCGGCCAGTGATCATTGTCACAGTTCCGTCCCTTCCACAAAACTTACACTGAAACAGAAGAAAGGAAAATAATAATTTCACAAATAAAACAGAAAATAACTAAACAGTATATGTAAGTTCCACTTTAAGGATCAAATTAGATTAAAAGATATTATCAAATTATACATATTCATGACATACTAGTGAAAGCCCTTCCACAGAAAAAATCATGACTCATTAATGTTGTGTTTGGATCTTAGATTTGTGGAATGATCACAAAAAGGAAGGGATTACATATTCTCTCCCCTTTTCTTTTCCCTCCACAAATCCAAGATCCAAACATAACCTAAAGTATTAGAAGGAAAATCCAAATATCGGTAAAGAAAAATTCTAGGGACCCAGACCTAGCCACCTAGATTTTTCTGGGTGGGAGATTGTGTTGTGAAAATTAAATTTGTATAATGTGGGATCCACCAATTTGGAAACTTGGCTAAAAGTGCTTATTTTAAATCATATCATCTCTTTACTTTCTTTACACGTTTTTTCAAAAAAAGTCAAAAACTCAACTTTTAACCAACTTTTCAAAACAACCCCAAATCTGAATCCCAAGATGATAATTTTGAATAATTTCTAGGTAGTTAAGTCTGAGTTCGTAGTATTGCTGATCTATAAAATGTCAAAGCAAATGTATATATATATATATATGTATGTATGGAGAGAGAGAGAACTAAAAATCACACAAAATTCAGCAAACTCCGTAATTCTTCAAAGCTTTTCCATATGGGTGAGTCGTAATAACTTCATGTAGCAACCACATGAATCATTGTAAAATTTGTACACTATCATTACATTACCTTCTGAACAAGATTAGTGGTATTCTTGCCCTGGTGGAGAGAAACTGTTTCATTCAAACTGACACATGTCTCTTTCTGAGTCACCTCTCCGCAATTCCCACATCTCATCTACACAAACCATGCATATATAAATACAGAACCAATGACAATATATAATACTCAAAAACAAAATATAAATCACCGCATCTGCAATGAGAAAAGGGATAAAATAAACAGTATCAAACTCAGCTCCCTTGAACTAAGACCAAAATCAGAAACCCTAATCAAAATAGATAATCACACAAAGCTGAAATCAAAGAAGCATAACAATGGACCACATTAGACAAAATTAAACATCCTATTTTTGCATTGATCACAAGAAACATACAGATAAGATTGAGAAACCCTAAATGCAGATATATGAAATTTTGATATGAAGTGGTAAATAGTCAGATGCATCGGAATTCAAATCAAATACAGATTAGATTGAAGAAGGATTGGAGTTGACGAACATTATATACAAAAAACACATGAAACCCTTATATATATATAGATGAATTTGTTTGTGGTTGAGTAGAGATGATTGATGGAGATGGAAATGGACCTTGAAGTAGTAGGTGAAGTTGGGATCGTCACAACCACCTTGAGGCTGGAGATTGGTCAGATTCTCGAGCTCTGCGGTGATCATCAACATGAGATTCACCATTTTCTCAGCTTGGAAAATCAACAGGGTTTGTTTTCTTTCTCGAGCGTTTGGACTCACTTGACTCGGCTTAAATCCCCAGCCTTCTAAAGTGAATGCTCGTACAATGAGTGGGGGCTAGGGGACCAATAAAATCAAAATCATACCATGTGTCCAAGAAATTTTTTTTTTTTTGGGAAAATGAGATCCTTTTAGAGGACCCCACAATTCTGAAAGTGATACACGGGGTGAGGCCGACTGATATATGTGTTGCGTCACATTACAAATAGTGTGAATTATTTGAGAGTTGTGAAGTCTTTTTAAAAAAATTCTCTATTACTGTTTTTTATTTTTATTTTTTAACAAAGGGTAAATTCCTGATTGTTCGGACCATAGTGGGCCGAAATTAAGGCCTGGTTTGGCAAGAGGCTATTTTAGTCAATTAGTCAAAAAGTTACTAAGGCCTCGTTTGGCAAGAGGCTATTTTAGCCAATTAGCCAAAAAGTTACTAAATTAGTCAAAAAGCCAACAGCCCATACCAAAAAGTCAAAGATTCTATTTTCTCTCTACTTTTTGCACATCTTTTCGTAATTAGCCAAAAAGTCATCCCAAACATACAAGTAATTTAGATAATTGATAATCAATAACGACCAAAATCAATGCCCACTATAGGCCAACACCCTCCAACTGTTCTTTGTGATTTGAATCTCTGGGCTGATTAGGGCCGACCGATCTCAGCCCCACAAAAGAAGTCAAGCCCAGCCTAAAGATGTACGATGCCCAGCACGACTGGTCTAGCCCATCTTCTGGCACAATATTCTCAACATCCCTTTTCTTTGTACATCTATTTTCTACACTAAAATTTTATTGGGAAAATTAGTCTAGGATCCTTCTCCCACTTTTCGTAATGGAAGAAATTCACAAAATTATTTTTTGATGTCTAAGGTCCCTAAACATATATCCGAGAAATTTTACTCTTTGCCCACGATTTCTGCGCCTTCTTCGAACATTCCATCACCGAGTTCGTTTCTTCTTGTGTACAAGCTACTCACTCTCAGTCCAATCCAATTCCAATTCAAGTCGATACACCCCCAAAATATATATATATACATACATACATACTAGTAACAACTTTTCACCCAAAAATGGCGTCTAAAACCCTTGTTCTTGCTCAAACACGTCCAGACCCACAAATCGTGGTCTCGACGGAGTTGTAATCCGGTAATGGAGGGCGTTCAGTATGGGAGGAGTAGTACCAGTTGAGAATCGTCGATTTGAGATTCAAATCGAGAGCACCGAAACGAATGCTCGGTGTCAATAAGGTTAGAAACGAATCTGATTGGACCAATGCTGGCAGAGCGAGTGAGGATGAAGAAGTGGAGGAAGAGGAGGTCATGGCGACGACAGTGAATCAATCACAGGGTCTGTCTTTGTTTGGGCTATGTTTGTGTGGTAATACTTTCTTCAAACCATCTTCCTTGGTCTCCGAAGCCATTGTTGTATAGAAAATACATATATATGTGTATATATGATATATACAGAGAGAGAGCGCAGTGGAGTTAACAATATTGTTTGTGCACATATATATATATATATATATGTGTGTGTGTGTGTGTATGTGTGTGTGTATGTATCATATATATGCATGCATATATTGTTTGTGCTGACAGTGTTGAATATAATGTTTCCTACAAACCAGAGAAATTTTAGGCTGACAGTGTTGAAATTTCTCTGGTTTAAATTCAGAGAAATTTTAATTTTCTCTGATTTGAACTCAAAGTAATTCTCTGCACGTAATGAGGTGAATTTCTTTGGGAATTTCCCTGGTTTGGAGAGAATTTCTCTGGAAATTACCATCTTGCGATGTTTGGTTCATTTTTTAGAACTTGTTTTATGGGCTGTAGATAGTGGCCTGGTGGCTGCAGATTGCTGTTTTTCTCTCTTTTTTTTAGCTCTATTCTGGGTTTTGCTGGGCTGTGGCTAATGCCTCTGTAATTGCTGCTATGTTTCTATGGTTGTGTTGGGTGGTTTTGTAGAGTTCAGTCCCTGTAGTTGACCTTGAAGAAAGAAATGTGCTGTGTTTCATTCGAGATAACCCAAAATCACAAACCTAATAACAGTAAAATTCAAGTCAAGATGGATTAGCTTTGGAACATGGGTAATATTTCACCAAACAATCTTAATGATGAGATAAAGAAGCCACAGAGAAATTTTTCTGGAGAGTCCATGAAAGGCTAAGGAGGCCAGAGAAATTTAAATTTCTCTGGAATAATTTTTTCTGGACCAATTTTCTCTGGATCAACTTAAGAGACCTTAGACATTATAAAAATATTAAATGTCCTTTATGTTATAAAATCTTAATATGAGGGACCTTAAAAAAAAAAACCCCAATTTTATTTGAATATATAACAAATTTTATATTAACGCTATGTATGATAAGTAATAATAGAATTTAAGAAATTGAATCCCAATAACAGAATTAAACAATGAATCGATTATTCAGAAGTAACTCATCTGTTAGCTCTAGATCATCTTCGACAATTCTAGCTCCTATTCCAAACATGGAATTAGTAATTAATGGAAGAAATTGAATTACAGAATAATGAACAAATTGATTTAAGTTGAAATATACCCAAAATACCAATTAAAGATATTTACAAAACAACCTTCTTACAATCATCCTTTAAAGTTAATCTTCATATTAAAACACTTGAACAAGTTTATGCTTTAACTAAATTTAGAGAAACATGTCAATTATTCTCTGCTGATACTATTAGGCGTCATTTGGCCACTGGTCACAACTTTATTCACTTAGGATTAATTCAAGTAGGAATCAAACCATTAATTCAACAACGTAAAAACTCATCTGCTTTACTCTGTTTACGTGATGCTCAATTTATTGATTTTAATGATAGCATTATAGGAATGATGGAATCTGGCCTTCACAAAGGACCAGTTCATTTTAATTGTTTTCCTGATTTTACTCTTAGTTTACGTGATCCACATATATTAAAAGTCTTAACCCTCAATATTCAAATATCTGGCTCAGCTGCTAATATGATTGAAAAAGTTCATAATCTTGCTTTAACTTATCGTGTTCATTATAAAGTTATGAAAACTAATTTAAATGTTCAAGCTTTACACAAAAGTCCCAAAGATAAAACATTGCTTCTCCAAAGTAGTACTGCTGAAGCTAATATTACTACTCCTAATATGCTTAGTTGGAAAGATAATACATTACCTGATGAATGGATAACAACCAATGAAAATTATAATCTTAATCCACACACACATCAAGATAAACTCAAAGAAATTCAACAATTCACCGATGGATCTATTCATATTAAATTTAATAGAATAAATAGTCAATCTTCTCGCCATAGTACATCTAGTATCCCCACTACTGAAGCTGATGAAGATGAAATCTTTAATACACCTTTATTTCAAAAAAATAGTCAAATTAATATTGGTCAATCTTCTTATATGCATACTAAATTAAAAGGTCTAGATAACTCCTCTACTGCCCAAATTAGTAAACCTGTTTATGAAGAAGATATTGCATCCCAAGATTCACCTACTCAAACTGATTTTGAAGTTGTTCCTCTTGTTGATCCACAACTGTTCATTCTTAGTAAACCTTTTACTCCTGATTTACCTAAACTTCATGCTGAATACAAATCAAAAGCAAATAAAACCAAACGACATGCTTTTTATAAACAATATGATGATAAAAAGCAAACAAAAATTACTCAAAAATGGTATAAATTTATAACTGAAATCAATACTGAAATTATTTTCTTTAATTATCTGGAAAATTATTATAACAAGGATAATGTTGTTACTAAAACTAAATGGAAAACTTCTGCTACTACATTTGTTACTGCTAGTCACCCTCCTTTAGAAAATATAATCATTAATCATAAAGGCACTCATGTCCCTGCTTCACCCTTTAAGTTACCTGGTGATGAATCCACTGATGCTAAAACTGAAGTTAAAAAAGTCATTGAACAAAATAATTATACAAATCAATGTTTAAAAACTATTGGTAAACAATTAGACAAAATTGAAACCACTTTTGATGAATATTCAACTAGTCATACATCTACTAGTAAAACTTTAAACAAACCTTTAATTAACCTTCCTAATTCTAGGAAACGATTGAGTCTTACTACTCACGATAATACTACTGTTGAATCTATTGAAAAAATATTTAGTAAATTAGCTACCTCTTCTTCTGCTAAAGACACTAAAGAAATTAAAGTATTAACACAACAACCATTTGATGAAATTACTCATAGTGATTCTGCCACATCCAATGATGAAATCACTCAATTATCCCAACAATTTCAAGATACTAATCTTAATCGGATTACTCACAAATCTAAAGTAATTCCTACTACAACTACTAAGAATTGGTATAATCGACCTACACCTCCTGATTTACAATTTGAAGACACTAATGTTAATAATCAATTTCTGTCTCTGCTAAAAAAATTTATGAATAGAATATAGATGGTCTTAATGAACATCAAATTCTTACTAAACTAAATCATTTATTTATGGTTGCAAATAGTTACCGTACAAATTACCTTGATTATACTCAACCTGAAATTGTCATCTTAATTACTAATGGATTTACTGGCATGCTTAAATCTTGGTGGGATAAATATCTCACTATTGAACAAAGAGAATCTATTAAATATTCTATTCAAATGAATGATCAAGGTTTTCCTATCTTCGATGATGATATAGGATCTAGTATCCCTGATGGTATTAATACATTAATATACACCATTGTCACGCCCCAAGCTCCGTGACAACGCCGCACACTCATTTAAGTGAGCATGCAAGGCTAAGAGTCCAACACATAACCAACAATGTAAAATACTCCAATTAAATCTTTAATTATCATAATGCTAAAATCCATAAAAATTGATTGTTCTTATCGTATAAAATTATCCACCAAGTCCACTAATAAAATCCATTAACAAAACAATAATCCAAGTACTTAAATTATAGTCCTACTCTCGGCCATAAAAATTGATTGTTCTTATCGTATAAAATTATCCACCAAGTCCACTAATAAAATCCATTAATAAAACAATAATCCAAGTACTTAAATCATAGTCCTACTCTCGATACTCCCACATGTAAAAATCCTGCGCAGCTCTACTATTCAGAATCTGAAAAAAAAAATAAGGGTAAGCTAGATAACCTAGTAAATAACCAATCATCACTGCTAGCTGGATCAAGTATATAAAAAATAAATAAATAAATCGATAATCAATAAATATAATTTTTTTTCTACAGTTCAATAAATGAACAATTATTTGTAAGATGGTTTCATAGCTAAAAATAAACAATGTACAATATATTTTAAATGAAAAGCCAACAAGATAATTCAAAGTAGTTCGTTGTTCAAATCGATAGTTCGATATTCAGATGGTTCAATGATTTGATTCACAAAACCCAAGTCTTAATGACTACGGTCACTTAGCCCGTGACAAGTTCCAGAACCACACATAGGCCGGTGGTAAAGCCCTAAAAGAAACTAGTTTCTGTGCCAATAAATAACCCCCATTGGCTAGGGTCCAAATCATAGTCAGACTAGAGTGATGTTTAAATATTCAAACAATACACAATTTTTAAATAAAACATTCGATATTTTCAGAATAAATGTTTAGTACAATTTTCAGAATAGTTTCACCAAATATTCAAATAATTTTCATAATAATATTCAATGTTGTTTTATACTTGACCCATATTTTATTTTAAGAGAACATGAAGGTTATAAATAAATATTTATGATTTTAAAAGATTCGATAGGAATAAAAATGAACCAACAGTGATAGAGGGTTGCTTACCTTCAAACAGCTAAAACAATATTTTCCAAGCTAATCTCAAATTACCAAGATCCACCTCAATCTCACAAACCTAATAAAATATTACACAGCATAAACAATTATTATGTGCACCCATCCATCTCTTCTTGTAACAACAATAGAATAAATTAACATAATAGTCTATTAGGAACTCCCACGATTTAGCATCAAAACAAAGCCATCACGGCTTCAGAAATTCTCAATCCATATTATTCTATTGTTGTTTATATACATGTAAAAATTTGTAATTGCTTGTAGTCAATCGTGTATCTCACAAACACACCACCATTAAACTTAACCCATCATATATCAATCTCAAAATATGAACCACCCAAAGGGGATGCAAAATACACTCTAAAATTGAGCAAAATCGAGTCTCCCAACATAGACTACATCAATATATTTATTTAATTATATATGCTCATAAAATCATCTATTGATATATTAACACCAAAATCATAGATAAGAATATAATAAAATAAATCTTACCTAAGTGATGAATAAAGCAAAACCACCACTCTTATGAATCCTCCCTCTTCCTTTTGGTTTTGGTCTTTTCGTTTTTTTTTTTTTTTTCTTCTTCTACTCTTCAAACCGTTGAGCAACAGCAGCCTCCAAATACCTAGCAACACTTTCACAAGGCTCCATTTTCTTTTTTTTTCTTTCTTTTTTTAAAAGGGTTGAAAACCTAATTCTTAAGATTACTAAATTACCCGTACAATTTATTTTAATTATTAATCAATCCAAAATAATTCTATAAATAACTTGGGTTTTACATTCTCCCCCCCTAAAAGAAATTTAGTCCTCGAAATTTGACATACCTGGAGTCTCAAAATGTTGTGGATACTTTCGTTTCATTTCATCCTCGAGTTCCCAAGTTGCTTCTCTTTCTGAGTGATTGCTCCATTGAACCTTAACATAGTGGATGACTCGACGTCTCAAAACCTGTTCCTTCCTATCAACAATTCGTATAGGGTGTTCCTCATAAGTCAAATCCTCCTTAAACTGCAACGGTGCATGATTAATCACATGACTAGGATCCGGTATATACTTCTTTAATATTGAGACATGAAAAACATTATGAACTCCAGCTAGTGAAGGTGGTAGGGCAAGTCTGTAAGCTACCTCACCAATTCGATCTAAAACCTCAAATGGCCCAACAAATCTAGGACTCAATTTACTATGAACACCAAACCTCATTACTCCTTTCATAGGAGACACCTTAAGGAACACATGGTCTCCAACCCCAAACACCAAATTGCGTCTCCTGTTATCTGGATAACTTTTCTGTCTACTCTGTGTCGTACGAAGTCGCTCTCTAATAAGATTGATCTTGTCCACTGTTTGTTGCACAATCTCAGGCCCTAACAACTTCCTTTCACCCACATCATCCCAACAAATAGGTGATCTACACTTTCGTCCATATGAAGCCTCATATGGTGCCAGCTGAATGCTCGCATGATAATTATTATTATAAGAGAATTCGACTAAGGCCAAATGCTCATCCCAAGAACCTCCAAGATCAATAACACAAGCCCTCAACATGTCTTCCAAGGTTTGAATAGTTCTCTCTGACTGTCCATCAGTTTGAAGATGAAAGGCAGTGCTAAAATTCAAACTAGTACCCAAAGCTATATGCAAACTCCTCCAAAATATAGATACAAATCTGCTATCTCTATCAGACACTATGGTCACTGGAATACCATGCAACTTCACAATCTCCTTGATATACAATTTTGCAAATTTCTCTAAGGAGAACCCTACCTTAAAAGCTAGAAAGTGAGTGGATTTGGTCAATCGATCAACGATGACCCAAATAGCATTGTTACCACCTTGGGTCCTAGGCAACCCTGTCACAAAATCCATGGTAATATGTTCCCACTTCCACTCAAGAATAGGAAAAGGTTGTAACTTATCTGCAGGTCTCTGATGTTCAACTTTCACTTGTTGACATACCAAACATTGAGCAGCATACTGAGCAATTTCCCTCTTCATATTATTCCACCAAAAGTTCCTTTTCAAGTCTTTATATATTTTGGCCCCGTTTGTTTTGGGAGATAGAATGGAGGGGATTGATAGTGAGGGGATTGTTAGTGAGGGGATTGATAGTGAGGGAATTAATAGTGAGGGGATTAATAGTGAGGAACTGTTAAATTATTTTTATATAAAATAATAAAACAAATAAAAAATATAAAAATTAAACATTAATATTTAAAAAAAATTCCCAATATATAAAAAATAAAAAAATTTCTAATCCCCTCACTATTTTTCTAATACCATCTCTATCTCATCCTTACCAATCCCCCTTCCTCCTCCTTACTAGTCCTAAGGGATTACTAGTCCCCTTCCTATCTCTCAAAACAAACACTCCATTCTCAATCCCCTCCTCACTATCAAACCCAATCCCCTCCCTATAACCCCAAACAAACGGGGCCTTTAATGCTCCCTGGATGTACAGTATATCCTGAACTGTGAGCTTCTCTTAGGATTTCTCTCTTGAGCTGTAAATCATTAGGCACACACAACCTCTCTCCAAATCTCAAGGTTCCATCTTTATGCATACAAAATTCCATCTGTAGCCCTATTTCCATTTCAGCCTTAAGTTTTTGCAACTGAGAATCTCTTCCCTGAGCATCTTTAATTCTATCAATCAATGTGGGTTGAACTCTAAGGTTTGCCAACTGCACTCCATGGCTATGCCATCTAATCTCAATATTCAACCTCTGTAAGTCCTCCAAGATATTCTTTTGGTCAGTGATCAAGGTAGCCAAATTACTCGAGGTCTTTTTACTCAAGGCATCCGCCATTGCATTGGCTTTTCCTCGATGATAATTGATAGTCAAATCATAGTCCTTTAATAGCTCCAACCATCGCCTTTGCCTCATATTCAATTCTTTTTGAGTGAAAATATGCTTCAAACTTTTATGATCAGTGAATATCTCACATTTCACCCCATACAGGTAGTGCCTCCAGATTTTCAATGCAAACACCACGGCAGCCAACTCCAAATCATGTGTAAGATAATTCTGCTCATATGGCTTCAACTGCCTAGACGCATATGCCACTACCTTATTATTCTGCATCAGGACACAACCCAAGCCCATCTTCGATGCATCACTATAGATGGTAAAACCTTCATCTCCGGACGAAACTACAAGTACTGGAGCAGACATCAATCGATTCTTTAGATCCTGGAAACTCTTCTCACAATCATCAGACCATTCAAATTTAACCCCTTTTTGTGTTAAACGAGTCAAAGGCATAGAAATTCGGGAAAATCCCTCAACAAACCTTCTATAATAACCAGCTAAACCCAAGAAGGTACGAATTTCAGTGACACTAGTAGGCCTATTCCACTCTATTACCGCCTCCACTTTCTTGGGGTCAACAGACACCCCATTTTTAGATATCACATGACCCAAAAATGATACACTCTCTAACCAAAATTCACACTTCTTTAATTTAGCAAATAAATTCTTCTTCCTTAATATCTGCAACACTATTCTCAGATGTTCTTCGTGTTGCTCTTTACTCTTCGAGTACACAAGAATGTCATCAATAAAAATTACCACAAACTGATCTAAAAAGGGTTTAAATACTCTATTCATTAAATCCATAAAAGCTGCAGGCGCATTGGTCAACCCAAACGGCATCACTAAAAATTCATAATGCCCATATCTAGTTCGAAAGGCTGTCTTAGGTATATCTTCCGCCTTAACCTTCAACTGGTGATAGCCAGAACGAAGGTCAATCTTAGAAAAGACTTATGCTCCTTGCAACTGATCAAATAGGTCATCTATCCTAGGCAAAGGATATTTATTTCGAATTGTCACCTTGTTCAACTCTCGATAATCAATGCAAAGGCCAAAATTACCATCCTTCTTTTTCACAAATAAAACAGGCGCACCCTAAGGAGAAACACTAGGCCGAATAAAGCTCTTATCTAGTAACTCTTGTAATTGTTCCTTCAACTCTTTCAACTCTGCTGGGGCCATCCGATACGGAGCCTTGGAGATAGGACCGGTGCCGGGTATCAATTCAATGGCAAACTCAATCTCTTTATCTAGTGACAACCCCGGTAACTCTACAAGAAAAACATCGGGAAATTCCTTCACAACTAGAATATCCTCTAACTTCAATTCACGGGTATCTCTCATAGAAGCTAAATAGCCCTCGCAACCATTCCTTAACAACTGTCTAGCTTGCAAAGCTGAGATTACCAGAAGAGGAGTGTTAACTCCACTACCCACAAAACAAAATTCTGGTTGATTAGGAATCTAAAATACTACCCTTTTGCCTAGACAATCAACAGAAGCATAATTAGTTGCCAACCAATCCATTCCAAGAATTATACCAAAGTCCCACATATCTAAAACAGTTAAGTCTACAAGCAATTTCCTGTTATCTATACTAACCACACGAGATTTGCAAATTAAGTCAGCAACTATAACACCTCCTATTGGGGTTTCAACACATAAGTCGATCTCTCTAGAGACACATTTCCATCCATGTTTCTCAACAAATCCTATAGACACACATGAATTTGTAGTGCCAGAATCAAATAACACATGTGCATAAACAGATGACACTAAAACAGTACCTGACACCACCGTGTTGGAAATCTGAACATCTTGTTGCGTGAGTGCGTACACTTGACCCTAAGTCTTTGGCTTATGACCTCCATTTTTCTTTTGACTTCCTGAAGACCCTTTGTCTGTTGATGCTCCTTTATTCGTCCATGTTTTCTGTTCAATCTTATGCCCCTTCCGGTTAGGGCAATCAACTATCTTGTGCCCCTGTTGCTCGCAAGAGAAACAAGCCCCAGTATTCCAACGACACTCACTATCCCGATGGAATCCATTACACCAAGTGCACTGTACCCGATCATTCTGCTTGTCAACACTACCACCTACAGTTCGACTTCCCCAACTCCCAACCGAAGAAGTGTTTTGTCTCTTAGCATTGCCCTTCGAACTGTTGTTAGTTTGGAAGTTGGAAGAACTAGGCCTCTTCTTATAATTCTCTTCTTTCTGTTCTTGGGCTCTAGTGAGGCCACTCTCAACTAACAAAGCCTTATTCAACACTGCTCCAAAAATAGGTAACTCGAAAGGAACCACCTGTTGCATAATGTTCGTTCTTAGCCCACGTTCGAACTTTCGTGCTCTGCTATCCTCGTCTGCTTCAAATGCTGATACAAATTTAGACAACTTCGTAAACTCGGCTTCATATTCTGCAACCGTCTTATTTCCTTGCTCTAACTTCGAAAATTCCCTCTATTTTTGTAGACGAACACTCATAGGAAAGTATTTCTCATTGAATGCATTCTTAAACCTTTCCCATGTATAGGGGTTGGCATCATGCTCGTGTATGCCCTTTTCCATCTGCCACCAATCATTAGCTATCCCTTGTAGCATAAACGTAGCATAGGTTACCTTCTGATCATCCGTACACTCAAAAACGGGAAATAACTTTTCCATTTCTGTCAACCATTTTTCAGCCTCCAAAGGGTCTGTGGCTCCATCAAATGCCAAGGCTATCTTCTTAAACTCAGTAATGTTACAACGTGGCCTCGGTTGTGGCCCAACACCTAGCTGTATCCGTTGTTGTTGCTCCATAAGTCTAGTCAAATTATTCTCTATGGTGGTTTGTTGTTGCACCACCCCGGCCAAAGTCTGAAGCACTTGAACCATTCCAATTGGATTGGGGATTGCAGCTTGTTCTTGTTGTCCCAACTCTTGCCCCTGATTTCCTCCGACTGCTTAAGAACCACTACCATTATTAGTCACATTCCCTCGCCGATTGTTATTACCAGTCCGTCGAATCGTTTGACCCTGGCGTGTATTCCTAGCCATATTTGCCAATGTCTCCTCATGCTCCATTGCAACCTATATGCATCAATAATAAAACCTCATCTCATTCTATTCTCAAGCTCCTATAACATAAAAATAAAATTAACATTATATCAAATTATAAGCGTTCCCAATCCTACATCTACCCAATCTCACCACTATTCTATACCAGTCTTTAAAATTACAACCTGGCTCTGATACCACAAAATTGTCACGCCCCAAGCTCCGTGACAACGCAGCACACTCATTTAAGTGGGCATGCAAGGCTAAGAGTCCAACACATAACCAACAATGTAAAATACTCCAATTAAATCCTTAATTATCATAATGCTAAAATCCATAAAAATTGATTATTCTTATCGTATGAAATTATCCACCAAGTCCACTAATAAAATCCATTAACAAAACAATAATCCACGTACTTAAATCATAGTCCTACTCTCGGCACATTATGATAATTATCCACCAAGTCCACTAATAAAATCCATTAATACAACAATAATCCAAGTACTTAAATCATAGTCCTACTCTCGGCACTCCCATATGTAAAAATCCCGCGCAGCTCTACTATTCAGAATCTGAAAAAAAAAATAAGGGTAAGCTAGATAGCCCAGTAAATAACCAACCATCACTGCTAGTTGGATCAAGTATACAATAAATAAATAAATAAATCGATAACCAATAAATATAATTTTTTTTCTACAATTTAATAAATGAACAATTATTTGTAAGATGGTTTCATAGCTAAAAATAAACAATGTACAATACATTTTAAATGAAAAGCCAACAGGATAATTCAAAGTAATTCGTTGTTCAAATCGATGGTTCGATATTCAGATGGTTCAATGATTTGATTCACAAACCCAAGTCTTAATGACTACGGTCACTTAGCCCGTGACAAGGTCCAGAACCACACATAGGCCGATGGTAAAGCCCCAAAAGAAACTAGTTTATGTGCTAATAAATAACCCCCATTGGCGAGGGTCCAAATCATAGTCAGACTAGAGTGATGTTCAAATATTCAAACAATACACAATTTTTAAATAAAACATTCGATATTTTTAGAATAAATGTTTAGTACAATTTTCAAAATAGTTTCACCAAATATTCAAATAATTTTCATAATAATATTCGATGTTGTTTTATACTTGACCCATATTTTATTTTAAGAGAACATGAAGGCTATAAATAAATATTTATGATTTTAAACGATTCGATAGGAATAAAAATGAACCAACAGTGATAGAGGGTTACTTACCTTTAAACAGCTAAAATAATATTTTCTAAGCTAATCTCAAATTATCAAGATCCACCTCAATCTCACAAACCTAATAAAATATTACACCGCATAAACAATTATTATGTGCACCCATCCATCTCTTCTTGTAACAACAATAGAATAAATTAACCCAATAGTCTATTAGGAACTCCCACGATTTAGCATCAAAACAAAGTCATCACGGCTTCAGAAATTCTCAACCCATAATATTCTATTGTTGTTTATATACATGTAAAAATTTGTAATTGCTTGTAATCAATCGTGTATCCCACAAACACACCACCATTAAACTTAACCCATCATATATCAATCTCAAAATCTGAACCACCCAAACGGGATACAAAATACACTCTAAAATTGAGCAAAATCGAGTCCCCCAACATAGACTACATCAATGTATTTATTTAATCATATATGTTCATAAAATCATTTATTGATATATTAACACCAAAATCATAAATAAGAATATAATAAAATAAATCTTACTTAAGTGATGAATAAAACAAAACCACCACTCTTATGAATCCTCCCTCGTCCTTTTGGTTTTGGTCTCTTTTTTTTTTCTTTTTTTTTGTTTTCTTCTACTCTTCAAACCGTTGAGCAGCAGCAGCCTCCAAATACCCAGCAACACTTTCACAAGGCTCCATTTTCTTTCCTTTTTTCTTTCTTTTTTTAGAAGGGTTGAAAACCTAATTCTTAAGATTACTAAATTACCCATACAATTTATTTTAATTATTAATCTATTCAAAATAATTCTATAAATAACTTGGGTTTTACAACCATACTTAAACATTTCATTGGTACACCAACTAATATTTATTCACGAATCCATGATCAACTTAGTAATCTCACTTGTTCCACTCTTAGTGATTTTAGGTGGTATAAAGATGCATTCACCTCTCGAGTCATGCTTAGAGATGATTGTACTAAATCATTTTGGAAAGAAAAATTCATTAATGGATTACCTAGTTTATTTGCTCATAAGATTAGAGATGTCCTTAGTCAACCCACTGGTGTTATTGAATATGATAATTTAACTTATGATGACATAATAAGTACAATTCAAAAAGAAGGATTAAGAATGTGTATAGATTTAAAATTAAGTTAAAAAGCTGCCAAAGATAAACACAAAGCTAAATATGAATTAGGTAATTTCTATGAACAATATGGTTTACCTCCTGTTGCACATTCCCGGAGAAAACATACTAAACATAAATCTTCTTACAAATATTCAAATAAATATAAAAAGAAGTATTCACCTGCCAAATCAATTGATAAATTTTATACTAAACCAAAAAAGAAATATTATAAGAAATTCAATCCTAAATCAAAGTCTACTAAAGACATTACCTGTTACAATTGTGGTAAAAAGGGTCATTACTCAAATAAATGTAGAGTCAAAGAAAACCTTAATCAACTACAAATTAGTGAAGAGAATCAAAAACAAATATTTGATATATTCAAGTTAGAAAATTCTCCTATTCAATCTAATCAATCATCTGATGAATCTACTCCTGTTGATAATAGTTCTAATTACCATACTCCTAGTGATGATTCTGATAATAATATTGAATTAGGATGTAATGATACTTGTTGTACAAATAAACAAATTACTGTACTTATTAAATCACATCAAGAAGAAACTGCTCTTATTGAATTAATTGCTAAATTAGAAAATCCTGAACTAAAACAACAATATATGGATAAACTAAAATCATTATTTATTAATAAGGAACCAAAACCTAAACATGATAAACCTATAATTAGACTTAATAAAACTTTAGAAAGATTTAAAAAAGAAAAACATAAAGAAGTTACTTTACAAGATTTACAAATTGAAATCAACAATATTAAATTAACTCTTAAAGAATTAAAAGAAAAAGATAAATCTTTAGAAGAAGAAATATCCGTACTTAAAATTAATAAAAGTCTTGATGAATTTCGAAATAGTCAAAAATCCTCTTCTAAATCAACAACTGCTTCTGAATCTGGATCTGGTTCTGAAACTGATCATGGTAAAGTCATTTTTGATAATCGTTCTCATGAAAATAATCGTTTAAATTTAATTTCCCGTATTCATATCCAGAAATGGCATTCAAAAGTCACTCTTGTTATTAATGATTTTCAAACTGAAGTCATTGCATTAATTGATACTGGTGCTGATTTAAACTGTATTCAAGAAGGTTTAATCCCTACTAAATATTTTCATAAAACTACTGAACAATTAAGCTCTGCTAATGGAAGTCAAATGCATATTCAATATAAATTACCCAAAGTTCATATTTGTCAGGATAATGTTTGTTTTAAAACATCCTTTGTTTTAGTTAAAAACTTAACTGATAAAGTTATTTTAGGAACTCCTTTTATATTTCTATTATATCCATTTACTACTACTAATCATGGAATAACAACTCATGCATTTGGTCAAAAAGTCACATTTAAATTCTTATCTCCTCCTGAAGTTCGAGAATTAAATCAATTAAAAGAACATTTCATATCCCAATCTATTAATCGATTAACTAAACAACTTAAATTTCATAAAGAAGAAATTAAATACAAAAGAATTGAAACTCAATTAATCAATCCTAGTTTACAATCCAAAATCAAACAATTTAATCCAAAACTTGAATCCCATGTTTGTTCAACATTACCTAGTGCTTTCTAGCATAGGAAAAAGCATGCCGTCACATTACCTTATATTAAAAATTTTAATGAAAAACAAATCCCAACTAAATTGCACCCTATTCAGATGAATAATGAATTAGTTGAAATGTGTAAAAAAGAAATTAATAAATTATTAAAAAATAAAATTATTTCTCCAAGTAAATCACCTTGGTCTCGCCCTGTTTTTGTTGGAAATGGTAGAAAAATTCTGGGTAAAACCAGAATTTTTTCTCAAGTTTGGTCTATTTTTTAGGTGGGCCCCGAGTGTCGATTTACTCGGGTCAAAGTGGTAACGCGTTCTATGCCGCGTTGTGATTCACGTTGTATATTTGGTTGCTCAAAACCATTACCGAGTGAATGGGAAATTGAAGCCAACGTGTGCTCCATGGAAATGGAGTTTTGGTGGAAATTCCTTATGGTTGTAAATTGGCTTGTCCCACATTGATTTGGTGGGAAGTTTTGAAAGGGTTTATAAGGCTTGGGTTAGATACTTGGGGTGTGCCCCAAGGGGTACCCAAGTGTTTTAGAGGGAGAGGTTATGGGCAAAATGGGCTAGACCCATTGGACCCAAAAATCACCACACGCGTGCCGTCCCCGCCGCTCGTCAATCCAGTTGGGCGGGCTGGGCCTGGGCTTGGGCGCGGGTGTGTGGTGTGGCTTCTAATCTTTTTGGGCCAAAAACATTGGATTTTCTGTACATCCAAATAGGGCCCTTCCCGTTTTCAAACAGAAATAAACTAGTTTGGAATTAGTGCACACGCAAACAGGGCCCTTCCCGTTTTGCTATCTGTTTGAATTGTTAACAGATTCAAATCTGTTTGAATTCAAAACCAACAGGTATCATACCTGTTCAATTTAAAACCAAGAGCCACCTTTACATCTATAAATAGGACCACCCTCATTTGATGTTTTTTTCATTCAGAAATTTCGTAAAAATTCTATTCCTGACTTTCTTACCCGAGAATTTTTACAGGGGGGATAGGGATGGTCACTCCTTTTATCTCTTACCATAAGTCACAGGTTACTCATTACCAAACCCTTATTCACCACACTACTTATAGAATTGCTCGACTCAAATTAGCCAAAA